AGGAGGTCAAGGTGGAGCCGGAGCCACAGGAGGAAGAGCTGGACGAACAGGAGAGAGAGGAGGGAGGAAAGGAGGAACAGGAGGAGGAAGAGGAGCAGGAACAGAAGGAAGTGGAAGGTGAGCACGCTGTGGCCTTGGGGGAGCTGGCGCCAAGGGCCGCTGGCATATCTGGGAGAGTAAGGAAGGCCCAGCCCAGACCTGGGGGCGGGGCTGCCTCCCTTTGGATGGAGGATGCCCCACGGGAGGGCAGAGCCTGGGTGCTTTTCCTTCCCTCCAGGGCTCTTCTCTTGGTCTCTCCACAGCGGAGCTCTGTCGCCCCATGTTGGTGTGTCCCCTGGAGGGGCCGGAGGGTGTTCAGGGCAGGGAATGCTTTCTCCGGGTCACTTCTGCCCACTTGTTTGAGGTGGAACTCCAAGCGGCTCGAACCCTGGAACGGCTCGAGCTCCAGAGTCTGGAGGCGGCTGAGATAGAGCCCGAGACCCGAACTCAGAGAGAACCGGTGCCCGAGGTGAGTGTGAGTGAGGGGTTCCGGAAGAGGTGCTGGGCTTTTCCAGGAGCCAGCTCTGAGAACATGGCTGTTGTGTGCCAGGCACTGGGCTGGCATTTCCACAGTCTGTCACTGGCGCTTACAGATGAGGAGGGAGCCTCAGGGGGCCGAGCACGGTTGCAGGCGGCTCAGGAGGCTGGCTGAGGTAGAGATCGCTTACTGGAGCTTGGATGTCAGCGCAAGCGTTTGATGGGGTCCAGAGCTATTGTTTTTCTCCATGGTCTGAGTGTAACCCTAATCCCTCTGACCTCCCTCCCTCTCACTGCTGTTTTTCCCCCGGTCCCCCTCTTCCTGCACAGGGCTCAGAACTGCTCCCTGGGGCCCCTGTCCTCGTTCTGCGCTTCTCCTACATTTGCCCTGACCGGCAGTTGCGTCGCTATGTGGTGCTGGAGCCTGACGCGCACACAGCTGTCCAGGTGACGGGGATGGGGCCTAGCGCGGATGCCCAGGAGGCTGTGGGGGAGACGGGGAGAGCCAGAGGAAGAAGCTCCAGGCCTGAGGGCTGGGGGCCGGTCTGCTCACAGCTGCCTCCGCCCCACCCTGTGTCAGGAGCTGCTTGCTGTGTTGGCCCCGTTCACCACCGTGGCTCCGCATCAGCTCGGGGAAGCCAGGGACCTGCTGGGGGGCAGATTCCAGTGTCTGCGCTGTGGCCGTGTGTTCAAGCCCGAGGAGCCCAGGCTGGGATTGGACAGTGAGGAAGGCTGGAGGCCTCTGTTCCAAAACACAGGTATAAGCCATACACTTGGTCTCCCTGCCCACAGGCCTCCCCCACTGCAGGGAAAGCGGCTTTAAGTGGGGGAGGGTGGGGGGGAACCCCTGGGAGAAAGGACTAGGGGAGTGGGGACCGGCCGTTCTGCTTGGAGGAAAAATAAAACTGCCTGCCTACTACATTTACTAAAAGGAAAACAAAACAAAACAAAAGAAAAAGAAGAAGAAACTATATCCTGTTTTTTCTTTTCCTCTCAAAATCAGGAAATGCAATCTCTGCAACTGTGCTTAAACATACTCATTATTTTTTTATAACTTGAGAGCTTTTTGTGGTTTTTTTTTTTTTTTTTTTTGGCTAATATTTCAGGAACTACATAAAACCTGAGTGCTCCCTGTAGTATCGCATGGTGGTGCTGCCCCTCTGAGCATATTTAGCTGTTGAGTAAGATGCTTTGGGAGTTGGCTTAATTTGTCCTTCCCTGACTGTAAGCTCCTTGATACCAAATGATGCCTCGTGGCATCTCTTCATATTCTGTTCTTTAAAACAAGATTTTTCCATTGTAGACCAGTCAGAAAACAATGTCTTTGAAGAAGACATTGAAGAAGAAAGAAATATTCTTGCTAACAGCTGTGTGGAAATGCGTGAATTTTATTAGCCACTTAACTCTTCTTGGCACAGCTGGACAGGGGTTTAAATGGTATTCAGAAAATGGAGCGCTGCTCCCTTCCCCTCGCTGCCCTGTACCTGCCCAGGTGGCTGCAGGCCTGCCGCAGAACATGTGCAACAGAAGCAGCTCCCAGCCCCTCTCGGACCCTGGCTATGGTCCCTGGGGTCCTGTGGCCTCTGGGGTCCCTTCTATGGTGGCATTATTAATGAACATTACTGTGTGCTACCTTGTCCTTTTATCTGTGCCTCAGTTGCCTCATCTGAACAAAGAAGAGAATGAACTCACTCAAGGGTGCTGCTGTATGAGATTTAAATGTGACAGTGAGGCACCGGGCATAGTGCACAAAGCAAAGGTCCCCTGTAAATGGTAGCTGCTGCTGTTACCCTTAGCTACAGGGTCTTGGGCAGGGTGTATAAATTATTTAGTCTTTTCTTTCCTCATTGGCAAAATGGGCTAGGGAGAGTTTTGGTAAGGATGAAATATCATGCTGTATAGGATCTAGCACACACCCAGCACATGGAAACACTGTAGTGTTTCTTCTTCTCATTGCTGATCTGTGTTCTAGATTCTTTACTGCTTCTGTTCAGTCATCCTGACACTGAGGATGAGTAAGACAGACACCATTATCATCCCTATTTCACAGACGAGGAACCAGGCTCAAGGGAGCTTAGGTGACTTGCCCATGGTGCCAGAGTTCTCCCTTCCTTTCCCAGTCTGTTGATTTGGGTCTTGCAGACATCGTTAGGAGAGCACTGAAGTACTTGATCAGCCCAATCTGTGGGAGGGGACCAGAGCAGGGCCTAGCTGTGTTTGGCCTAATCTGAGAGGGTCTGAAATTAGAAAGTGGGGTGTATTTTGAGGAGGTGTGGACCACGGGTTAGCTTGTCCTTCCCTGGGATGGGGAGTGATCAGTCAGCAGCTGTGCCTGGAGGCGGGAGTGGGTGTGGGGCACGGTGGTCATGTATGAAGCTAGACATGTGGGCGCAGGGGAGGCCTGAGAGTGGGCGAGTCGTATCGTGATCATGAGCATGGTTGGGGGTTGTGGTGCTGTGTGGGGAGGCTCATGGTGTCCGTCTCTCCCTCCAGAATCTCCTGCTGTGTGTCCAAACTGTGGTAGTGACCATGTGGTTCTCCTGGCTCAGTCTGGGGGAACCCCCAACAGGGAGCAGAAACAGGGGGAGCAATCGCCAGCTCCCTCTCAGTGTGCCAGCACTGGCTGTGACCCTGCTGGCCTCAGTGACCACCACAGCAGGACCCAAAGCATCCCACCTCAGGCACCAATTGCCCATGACCACTATAGTTGGAGCCTCAGTCCCCGTGAGTACGGGCAAAACAAGACGGGGCGGGTTTTGGGGAGGGAGGGGGCACTGATGGGGAGGTGCAGATGGAGCCCGGGGCCACTGGGGCAGGCTGACCGCCCCGGGTTGCTCCCAGCCCCTGAGCACCATGGCCTCCGCTCTGTGGATCACCGGCTCCGGCTCTTCCTGGATGTCGAGGTGTTCAGCGACGCCCAGGAGGAGTTCCAGTGCTGCTTCAAGGTCTGTGCTGTCCTGGCGCTGCCTGCCCCTAGCTGACCCGGTGCCCATTTGTTTCCTTCACAGCCACTCAGGTCAGATCGGCCACTCCACAGCCACCAGATCTGGCTTCCGGTTTCAACTCCAGCAGTTACCTGCTGTGTGACTGTGGATTTGAGTCTCAGTTGTCACCCCACTGCGATGGAGATAATGGTGCCTCCTTTACAGGGTGGCGTACAGTCGGAGCTCATGTCTGTAGGCTGCCGGCACAGCACCTGGTGTTGCACAGCGAGGGGGCCTCCTAGCATTATTGCAAATACACGGTGTTATCAGGCCTTTGTTGAGCACCTGTTGTATGCTAGACACAAAGGCTCTGCAGTCAGTCCGTCTTGCCCGCAATCTTATAGTCTGGTGTGAGGAACTGGCAGCCGTCGTGCGGTAGCGAGCGCCGTCATCAGGCTAAGGTCCTAGAAGGGGCATCTAATCCCGCCCCAGTGGGTAAGGGAGCCTTCCTGGGGGGTGATGTCTAAGCCAAGTCTTGAAGGATGAGTTGAGGAGTAGGGAGGAAAAGGATATGGTTGGTAAAGGAAGCAGCAAAAGCATGGAAGCCTGAGAGTGTCGCCAGCTGGGAGAACTGCCCAGGACGAGGGCAGCCAGGATGTGCGGGGTAAGGGCACACGTCCCAAGAGGGTCTGAGAGGCAGGCAGAGGCCAGTTCAGGAGCAGCCTCCTGTGTCTGCCAAGGGGTTCGGCCTTGGTCCTGAAGGCCACTGGGAGCCACTGAAGGATTTGAAGCAGGGGAATGATGGTCAGTTTTTTGCTTCTGAACAGTTGGTCTGGCGGGGTGGAGGTGGGTTGGAGGGGCAAGGTAACAGGCAGGGGAGCCAGCCGAGAGATTGCTGAGGCTCTGAGGGGCAGGGCCTGTGGGGTGGAGTGCGGTGGTGGGTGGAGAGGCCGTCAGGCTCCGGGGAACGTGGGCAGACTCACAGGTGGGCGGTGGGGAGGGTCCGGCCAAGGGTGCTGTTTTAAGTAACTTGGCTTTCAGTCTGGCACTGCCTCTCTGGCCTTCTTTTCTGATCTCACACCAACTTCCTCTTCCCCTCAGGTACCAGTGGTGTTGGCAGGCCACGCTGGGGAATTTCCATGCCTTGTGGTCGTGTCTGACCACAGGCTTTACCTGTTAAAGGTGACGGGGGAGATCCGGTGAGTGAGCCGGGGCATGGCCAGGGCAGAGGCAGGGTCCCTGTCACTTTCACTCCACCCTTACTCTTTTCCACCGCTCTGTCCCCTCTCTCCACAGTGAGCCTCTGGCTAGCTGGCTCCAGCTGACCCTGGCCATTCCCCTGCAGGATCTGAGCGGCATAGAGCTGGGCCTGGCCGGACAGAGCCTGAAGCTGGAGTGGGCGGCTGGGGCAGGCAGCTTCATGCTGCTGCCCCGAGACGCGAGGCGTTGCCGGGCCTTCCTAGAGGAGCTCATCGGTGAGAGAGGAGAGGCCAAGGCGGGAGGCGGGGTGGGCCCCTGGGGGGTGAGCTCCCTCAAGACTGGTGCCCAGCAGTGAGACAGAGAGGTAATGGAACTCGTCTCTTGTAGAAGTTTCTGAAATCTCGAACTGTGGGGAATGGGAAGGTGTTGGGAGGTGGAAAATGGTGGGATAGAGGAGAGAGAACCTTCTGAGGCTTCCCTGTCCCTGCTGGCTCTGTCCAGATGTCTTGCAGTCTCTGCCCCCCACCTGGAAGAACTGTGTCAGTGCCACGGAGGAGGCGGTGACCCCGCAGCACCGGCTCTGGTGAGTCCATAGGAGTTGAGGCTGGGGGCTGGTGCCCAGGCCCTCTCCCTGCAGAGCTGCAGACACCGCCCTGTGCTGGGCAGGCCCCGGGCCTGCCGCCTGTCCTCATGCCTGTACCTCCCCATACCCCAGTGTCTCCTCCAACCCCCCTGCCCCACCCCTGCACTGCTTTCTTCCCACTCCCCTCCCGCAAAGCACCTAAGCACCTCCCACGCCCTAGCTGGTCTTGCTGTGTCTGCCCGTTCCCCCCAGGCCGTTGCTGGAAAAAGACTCATCCTTGGAGACTCCTCAGTTCTTCTACCTTCGAGTGTTCCTGGTTGAAGGTGAGGCCTCTGCTGCGGATCATGCCCTGGTCTCTGTACCCTGTCTTGTCCCAGGTCACTGGTCTGGCCCCCAGCACCTCTGCAGTGCTCTCGTAGCACTGCAGTAGCACCGTCAATTCCTGGAATCTGGGCTTCCTCTCACTCGCGGGCGTCCGCAACAGCCTCCGTGTTCCCTGCCTCTCTGGGTATGGTCCGGAGGTGCCTGGGATCCTCAGTTGCCCAGAAACCTGTGCTTTCGAATCCAGGCTTTCTCTGAAGTGGAGCAGATCGCCGGGTCTGCTCTACCTGTCCTGTCAGAGGAGGCAAGGGTGGTCCTTGTTCTGAGTGGGGTGGGTGGTGGTTCCCTTTGTCTTGGGCCTCAGAGGTCTTGGAGGCTAGAGGTTGCTGGAGTTTGGGGAAGGGAGGTTCTTGGCCCCAGGGGCACAGGCTGCTTTGTGACCTACCGCAGAGCGTGGTTCAGCCTCTTCTCCCAAGCAGCATTGGGACGCTGGGTGCTGGGCGCTGGGACCCTGGAGTCTGGGCCCCTCCATGGCCTTCCACTCTGGGCCTCACCCTGCCTCTTTCCCTCCAGGCCCTTCTACCTGTCCTGTGTCCCTGTTGCTGACTCTGTCTACCCTGTACCTGTTAGAGGAGGACCCTGCTGGGTCCCAGGCAGATCCTCCTCTTCCAGCAGCATCTGGCGAAGCCTCTGAGAAGGCCCTTCCCTTGAGGCTAGACCCTTCCGTGTGTGTCCGGGAGCAGCAGCCACTCAGCAGCCTGAGCTCAGTGCTGCTCTACCGCATGGCCCCGGAGGACTTGCGGCTAGTCTTCTACGACGAGGTGTGCACATGTGTGTATGGGGGGGCGGGAGAGTGGAGGGCAGTGTGGGAAGTGGGTCTGGGGAGGCTGGGAATTGAGGACCGGGAAGAACTTGGGGTGGGAAGTCATGGTGAAGGAACACAGAATTAAGCTGTGAGGAACTGGGGGGTTCTGTGTTTGGCTAAGCAGCAAGTAGAGAGGGAGGCAGCTGCAGGCAGGGGAAACACCTTGGCCTTGGGGCCTGGCCATTTATTAGCTGGGTGGTCTTTAGTGAGGTGCCCGGCTGCTTTGAGTTGGTGGGATTGTGCTCGCTGTGGTTTAGCCATTTGATCTTCATGACAACCATGTGAGGAAGTACTCTTACTGGTGCTCTTTTACAGATGAGGAAACTGAGATTTGGGGATGTTAACCAACTTGCCCAGATCACAAGTGATAAAGCCAGGAATTGAACCCAGAACTTCCATTCTGTACAACAGGGAGGATTAGGGAGACAAGATAGTAAACATGAAAGGCCTCTGGAGGCTTTCAGTGTAAGTGTTGATTGAATTCTGTTTTCAAAGCTCAGAGTCAGGCTCTTTAATGGGGAGTGGCACAGGCTAGGGGAAGGGAAGATGAGCCAAGAAGGACCGTGAGTCCTCCCCTGAGTGCTCTCTATGTGTGCCCTGGTGTGGCCCTGTGATCCTCACCTTGCTAACTGCTCGGTCTGCCAGGTGTCTCGGCTGGAGAGCTTCTGGGCGCTCCGTGTTGTGTGTCGGGAGCAGCTGACAGCCCTGCTGGCCTGGATCCGGGAGCCCTGGGAGGAGTTGTTTTCCATTGGACTCCGGACTGTGACCCAAGAGGCTCTGGACCTTGACCGTTGAGGCTTCCACGCCAACCTTGGCCATGACCTTGAAGGCCATGCTGCAGATGTTCCGTCTCTTGGTCTCTGGTCTGGCTTCCAGATTCTGGCTGCAGACTCTTCCAGCCTTTGGGTGCTAGCCAGGGAGACCCCAGATGACCCATGGCTGAAGGGAAGGGTGACAGAAACGGTCTGGCCTCTGCATGACCTGGCCTAAGGGGACAGGCTAAGTGCTCAGGAGGAATGTATTTCTTGCACTTTTTCTCAGGTATTAATAAAGCTGTTTCCATTCCAGATGTCATGGATGGTATTTAGATGTGTCACTCAAAGCCTGTCATTCCCCTAACCTCTTTGAACAGAAACTGCCCTGCCCATAGCTCTTCCTGAGTGGGCAGCTCCAAGCAGCCTCGTTTGTACCGTGAGACCTGGTGTCCAACCTACTCTGGCCCCAGCTTAGCTCCTGACCCATGGGCACCCAGTACTCAAGCTGGCAGCAACCTGTCATGTGGTCTGGCCTGGAATTGCTGCTGTGCAAATAGCCAGGCCACTTAGATTCTCACCCTCTGGAATCTCAGTTGGGAAGTAGCAAGGCCCTCAGGCCATTGCAGAGGGTGCCTGGAGCTGAACTGTGGAGGACGTTGGCATCTGGTGCTTTCTGCTTTTGCCCTCTTATAGCACTGCCTCACTCAGCCCGGAGGTGTGGGAGGGTCGACCCCACTCCCTTGCCTTGTCTACACGTCTGCAGCCACCGCACTTGCTTAGGGAATGCTCATGGGACCTGGTTTGGCCTACCAAGGCCAGCCCTGGCCTTTGACTGGAGGAACCAAGAAAGAGGCCAGCTTCCTCCCGGGGCTTGCTAGGAGGATAAGCCTGGAACTGCTGGCACGAGGGGAGAGCTTTCCTGAAAGGGGAGCTGTGAGGAAGAGGAAGACAGAAGGGAGGTGAAGAGAGCAGGACCAAATCTTGGGGATGTCTTTGGAGCCCCTGGGTGCAGTTGTACCTGAAGGTGGATACCCTTGCAATTTTAGGTTAGGTGAGCTAAAGTAAGCCCCCTCCCCTTTTGTTGGCTTCAGCCAATTTGAACCAAGTGTGAGCCACCGGAAGGGCCCCAACTGAGTGGCCCCCACTCCCACTTGAGCCAGCCTGAGCTGGGGTCTGTTTCTTGTACAATGGGAATGGTGTCACCCATATATTTGTGTATAGAGACCCTAGTTCTTGGTTCGTATTTCTGTGTGAGGCAGAATGATCAATCCAGCTCCCTTTTTGTATCAGACAACCAGGCCTAAGGCCTTGAAGAGAATGTGACCCGACTGCTTGCGGGGACAGCAGGGCTGGGGCCTTTCACTTGGAGAGGGTGTGGGCAGGCTTGCCCTGGCCTGACCAGGCAGCTACATCTCTAAATCCTTAGGGTTAAAGTATTTGAAAATTAAAAGGGGTCGTTTAGAAAACTTATTTTTAAATGTATTTGGAAAGTAATGAACATACACAAAAAAATTCATACTGTACCTAAGGCTATACGGTAGAAGGTGTTACTCTCATGTTCCTGGCCCCTAACTCCCCTCTCTAGAGTCAAGCATTCTTACCCATTTTCCCATCCAGAAATTTCTATGCATGTACACTTTCGTGTACACATATTCCCCAGAAAAGGGTAATTATTTAAGCCACTCAAACTCCATGAAAAGAGATTGATTTTTAAGATTAGTTTCTCCTGGCTGGGCGTGGTGGCTCACGCCTGTAATCCTAGCTCTCTGGGAGGCCGAGGCGGGCGGATTG